CACCACCACCACCACCACCACCACCACCACCACCACCACCACTTTATTTGTTTGTGTAGACGATGGAAACGTTAGCCTAAAGACGTGGAGCGCGTTGGATGTGTACGTCATGCATCAGCAGTCATGCAGTCAGTCGTGTGTCAGTGCAGTCAGTCAGTCATGCGTCATGCAGTCAGTCATGCATACCAAGCTAGTAAGTCCGTGACAATGGCTACTCCTCAATGGTTCCAGCTCATCCCACTTTACGACCCACGACATGTTTGCTAAAGCGGATTCCAACTTCATACGCCTAGAACCGACAAGAATTATGACTTTTTAGGTAACACGCTATAAAACATTCAAAACGTAATAGTCAAGACATGAATTGAGCGAAATTTTTATAATAATTATTATCGAATCGCTTTGTAAACGTTCTCAAACAGTGCTAACAATTTCTGCAAAACGTTTTAATACCGCATGGAAATATTTACATATATCGTACGCATGCACACAGTTAGATTACATTTGATAGTGCTTTAGTCAAGGTTGTCAGCCACACGTATGTACGTACATATGTTGTATTAAAACTGTAAAAGATACAGCCATAAACTATGTTTTGAACTGACGGTTATGAAAAAGTATTAATAAAAAACCAGATTTCAATATAAATGTACCGCGTTTTGTTCCGAATGTCCGTTAATTCAATTACCGTAATGGGTATTGAATTGAAAAGCAAAATGTTGCGCATGACTTTTCGATTCTTATTCTGAATTATATAATATACGAAATGTGTGAAATAAGTTGTGCAGCAGTCGCTGTAGAACGCCTTAATTCTATAACCATTTCATTTTGGTTTTATAACCCGCAATTTTGAGACCACAAGGTATTTCAATACGTTTAGCAAGAAATGATTGTATTTGAGTTCAAGGGCGAACAGGTACCGTCAATGTAATATGGCACCAACAACCATAACTAACTCTGGACCTACTACCAATAAGGCCGTTATAGCAGCGTCAATAATTAATTTAGTTTGGTTTAGCATAACTGAATCACAACACTGGGCTAGAAAACTGTTTTAATTACCTGTATACAAACGCCGCAGCGATTCCGCACACCAAAAACACACTCGATATAATTCCCAAAAGGTAGACTATCAGTGTTAGGTAGCCTGTAAAACACAATAGGATCTACAATTAATTTGCCTTCAAGTTGTTATAAACATTACATTATAGACAGAAGTTTTTAGTAAAGCCTAGACATTTATACGCCGGCGTTATCTTTTGTATTTGGTGTGATCACTACATAAATTCTGTGATAAAAGACATTTATTCATCCGGACGGTCGTTTCATTTCTCTAATTCCATCCATCATTTATCAGCCTCGTGTTCAATTTGGTACGACGTTGGTAATACCCCTAGGTTTGCAACGATCTCCTCGAAACCCGCAGACTGGTACATCCTTAGGTGGCTCGTTCTGCGCTCCAGGCCAGTGAATAGGCTTGAGTGGCACATACACAAACTCATCATCGGCATAGTTGATGCCAACCGGCTATCAACGGAAAATAATTTCGTACATGTGTATCTTAGAGTAATGTAATACACATGAATCTTGGTAGCAACAGCAGTTATAGACGAATGCTTGGCCGAAGCAAATATAGTTACTCAACAAATATTAGAGAATATACAGAATTTGAGGTATGCAGTGGTATTGCAAAATCTATAATTATAATATATATATATATCTACATTAATAAATTTAAATGATGTTTTTCAAATCAATGTTTTACGTATTAGATCTTATCTATCTGTGTGACATGGTACCCATTGCAACGTTTGATTCATAAGGTCACAAGAGGTTTTTAAACACAAGATATACGTTATTTTCTGGCTTCTACAAAATATTGCTCAAACTTCGTCTCAACGATATATGCAACTGCAAATCAAAAATCGAAAATAGCATATGGCTTTATTCTCGCCTTGAATAGCCCCGTGAGGGGATCCAAATCCATTAGGAAGAAATTCGTGATCCGATCCCCAATGACATCTACCTTGAAATTTCCGTTTATTCCTGGAATGAATCACCAACATTTATTCATTGAATTATAATACCTCACATTTGTATACGTTATTTTTCACGCACGCGCTCACCCGCACACACGTCCATGCACACGAGCACGCGCACGCATACGCACGCACACATACTACACGCACACATAGCACATGCACACGCACACGTATGGACAGCAAGCCATATACGCCCAATTATATCCAAATAAACGTGGAAATGAACTCTTACCCATTATCCAAGCTCGATACCATTTATTACCATATCCACCTTTTCAGGATCCTCTCTCAGTCTCTTCCTATTTCGTTCGCCGCTACTTCCGTTCGCAATTTTTAGGCAAATATCGCTGACAATACTTTCGGTAACCATACCTTACAGTTGCTATTAAGTGATATTTTATCGGTCTTTCAGGGAATCTTTTGTCCGCCTATATCTTGCGTGTGAATGTATATTGATGCATGCGTACGGTAAAAAAAGAAGAAGGCCTATACGCAAATATATATATATATATATAATATATAATCATATAAATATATATTGTGTTGTGGGTGTGTGGGTTGGTGGTGTGTGGCGTCGTGCGTGAGTTCGGTGTGCGTGCGTGCGTGCGTAACGTGGCGGCGGCGTGCCGTGCTTGTGTTGTAAGTGTTGTGTGCGTTGCGTGCCGGAGTGGTGTGCGTGTGTTGTGTGTGTGTGTGTTGTTGGTTGGGGTGGTGAGTGTTGATGGTGTGTGCGCGTGGGTGTGTGTGTGTGTGTGTGTGTGTGATTACAACGGTGGTGTGTGTGTGTGGTGTGTGTGTGTGTTGTGTATGTGGAAAAGAGCAAACCAGTTGCGATTACATAATGAGTAAAACAACACATGAGAATTCACCTCTTCGGCCCGCCATAAGGATTTTAAAATGTAAGTAAAAGTATTCGATTAATTATATTTTGCTAAATAACATCGAGAACTAAATTGATCGT